GAATGCAGCCAGGATGTGGGCTTCTCCGCAGCTCACGCCGTCACTCACACCGGCCCTGTCTCAGGCTTGTGCAGAGGCTTCGGTCCTGCTGTACCTCTCAGAAATAGGGTTGGGGTGGAAAAAACTCACATAGGAAGCATGGTGGGTCCTGGTCTGGTCCACTCCAAGACGGCAGGGGTCCAGCTTCGGACAGGCAGCATCCAGGAGGCAGAAGGAAAGGTGAGGGTGAGGCGGAGGGCGAGGCGGAGGGCGAGTTAGCTGTTATAACCAACTCTCTCTTCCATTCCTTGTTCCCTGGTTTTCCCAAATTTCTCTTCAGCTTTTATGGTGTTCAAGGAGGTAGTCTGTGGTGTTTTGGCACGTAGCCCTGTTCAGATGTTCGCAGAGATATGATAACTGTGAACAATAGCAGGATCTTTTGGCAGGAAAACTCCCGTGGGAAGACTCTGGTGAGAACTTCTGGTGGAAAACTGACACAGAAGTTGAGGGGATAACCCCCTCAGTCTCTAGGCTAGACTAAGCTCTGTATGTCTCAAACCTTTTGACCTTCTCTGGCGATTGTCTTTATTTACCTTCTTTTAGAGTTTCAGGAAAAATATGCTGTGCTTGGCAAAAAGCCTCCTCCAAACTGATAATCTTGTGGTCCCTGTGAGAGCTGAGGACAGAGCTCAGCATGCAGATGCAGAACTTGTCTCTGGTCAATGGTCTGATCCACATGACTTGATAACTTGGGGAAAGGGATATGTTTGTCTCTACAGATAATAGTCCTCGCTGAATACCTGCACGGTATGTACGTCCTGCTGTTGGTCCTGGAAGTCGTCAGTGCAGTTCCTGACCCGTCAAAGTTCACTCCATGGCATAGTCGGAACATCTGGGTGACTCTAATGAAAGAACTGAATCACACGACCTTTTGTGCATCACTGGCGTATCCAGAGCAGCCATTTCACACCTGTCTTGTTGGTGTTCCTCTGGGTGACACGGAAGCATCTCTCCTGGTGCAGGATGTTGTCCGACGGCGTGACTTATTGAAACGGGACTGTCATACTGTGCGTGGGTGTCGTGATCGTGTTGATAGCTGGGATGATGTATTGTCTGTTAACACTCCACTCAAAAGTTAGGTATTTTAGAGTCACTGTTTGTAAAAGACTGTGTGTATTTTAATCATCGTGTAGGTTATGACATAGAACGAGCACGTGGTGAGTCTATGGTGCGGGATGTGTTCCCTGAACTGTCTTTCTGTAGAAGTGGTTCCTTCTGGTGTCAGTAAGAGTCCGACTTGGGGTGCTCCGGCGGTGGGTGCACCTTGCCGGGGGTGTTTCTTTTGTGTGAAGATAGAATCTAGCCAGGAATCCCTGCACAGCCATTAGGGGGGCCTTGTACATCTAAAAAGTTGGTGGTTGTGGTTGTGTTGCTGATGCTGCCGTGTTTAGTATCGCTCCTGCAAAGGGCCCTGCAGGATGCGATGCGAGCAGCCTTTGTGGCACAATTACAG